ACTGAGTCACAGAAGTAAGAAAGATCTTCTTTCTCTTTAAGAGAAAGATCTTCCATCTACTGGTTCACTCCCCAGATGGCCTCAATGGCCAGGGATGAGATGATCTGAAATAGGAGCCAGGAGGTTCTTCTGGGTTCTCCCATGTGGGTGCAGGGACCCAAGTACTTGAACTAGCCTCCACTGCTTTTCCAGACCATTAGCATGGAGCTGAATTGGAAGTGGAGCAGCCGGGACTCAAACAAGAGCCCCTATAGGTGCCCAAATGGTCACAACAGATAGAGGCTTAACCTACTATTCCCAGGTGATGGTTCTATCCTTCCATTTTAAAGTTAGCAGTATCTATTGGCACAAGTCCTTTCATGACCCCTTGGATGGTTGTTTTTAGCCAGAATACCAAGCTAATCAAGCAGAAGACAGAGTTAAGTGCACTCGCAGTTGAAGGCGAATCAGAAAGTCCAAGCTCCAGAGATTCTGAGTATGAGTGATACCCTTTTCCAAACTCCAAAGAAAGCAGATGGCAAGTGATCCCAGGAGTGCACCAGAGCTGTGAATGATGCCTTGCTTTACAAAGAGATCAGTAAAATTCAAGGCCTGTCTACCCAGAAATGTATTTAATCAATATAAATGTACAGAGAGCCTAGTGAGACCTGGCTGCAAGGACCCACGTCAGGTGCTTATTACTAGAAGAAATTAAGCATAGTCCTTGTCCCCTGAGAGGTTGGCTTTCCTAAAAAGAAGGTGGAAAACATTCAAAACACTATCAGGGTCTGGGCTATGTATACCAAATTAGAGGTGGTCAGCATGTTTAAGATTGTGTTGCTGAAAACAGATAATTTTCCAGGACATTCTAGCCAACCTTGTTCTATGAAAGATTTCCTTTAGGAAAACTGGGAACTATTTCACAGGGAAATCAAGTAGATTGATGCAGGTTTTAAAAGATGCCACAAAGCTTTCAAGTGAAAAAATATTGGAGGATGGTGTGAGGGATAAAATTTAGGCAGATGAATTCATATCTTAGAATGGTAAGAAGCTTGGCTTGGTTGAAGGGCAGGGTATAAGGAAGAGGAAAGGCAGTGTTAAAAATAAGAAATAAATTCAAAGGAGTAGATCCAAATTTAACCAAAGGCTATGTCAAGGCTAAAGTAGTGGGTTTGATCAGGGGAGATTTCTTTAGAAAAAGCCATGGAGGGGAATATATAATATCTACTCCTGTAGTATTTTCTTCAGAGAATCATCGCTCCCCAGACCATGCTTTAATTATTGCTTAGCATGACTCTGCAGCCCAAATGGAGTTAGATACCATTATATCCAGCTGACAGCTGACTGCACTTAACTCAAAAGTGTATAAATTCATCACAACAAAGCTGAACTAATTACCAATTTTCCTGCCAAACTTCTCTTGTGAATGGTACCACCATTACGCACCATCCAAGTGTACAAACCAGAAACCACCATCCATGACAGCGGTCCAACTCATGTCTCATCACCAAACCCTATTCTTCTATTACTACATCTTCTCAAACTCACTCATGCATTTCTTCATCTCAACCACTTTAGTCAAAGCTTGTCTTACCTGGATCACAGCAACAGAAGTCTTTAACATTAATTTCTTGCCCCTGCAGTGCACACTCTAATCTGTTGCCAAAGAGATCCTTATAAATAAATACCTGCTCGTGTCACTCCCCTATTAAGGTCTATCAACGGTTTTCCATTCCTGATAATGAATCCTTATCATGCCCACTAGTCACATCTGCATGATTATCTTCTATCATTTTATCTATGCTTCCCTGTCTCTCTCCCATTAATGCAATATTTTTCTCAGTTCAATTCAATATGCTTCAGTCGTGGTTTTTGCATATGTCCTTTTCACTACCCTTCTCCCTAGGATAGCTGTCATTCAACCACCATGTAGATCAAAAGCTAAAATGTCACATATAAAAATAGCATCCTCAGGACTAGTATTGTCGAGAAATGGATTAAGCTGCCATGATGCCGATAGCCCAGTGCTTGATTGAGATGCAGCTGCTCCACTTCTGATTCTGTTAATCTACCTGGGAAAGCAGTGGAAGATGACCCAACTGCTTGGATCTCTGCACCCACATGGGAAACCCATCAGAAGCTCCAGGATCCTGGCTTCATGCTAGAACAGCTCCTGCCATTGTGGCCATCTAGGGAGTGATCTCCTCCTCTCTCCCTGTCCCTCCCTCCAGCTCTGAAACTATGACTTTCAAGTAAATAAAAATACATTTAAAAAAAATAGCATTCTCTTATTCTCTCAGACTCAGTTTCTAAGATTTATAAATGTCTTAATCTAATAGCCCCAACTCCTCATAGTACTTATAATTGCACCGATTTACTGCATAACTTCTTCCACTAGAATGCAAATCTTACAGCAACTGATACTGTGCTTATTTTTTTTTTCAGGCTCTAGAAAATACCTTATGCCTAATAGATGCACTGTTAAATAAAAGTTACATTCTCCAGTGTCATTTTGAACTGAGACAATGCATATTGACAGATAGCATAAAAAACAATTTACTTTTATCCTATACTATGTAAGTTGTTGACATTTAGCTGGACACCTATATTCCAACAAATACTGTGTGACAGATATTGTGTGTTAAATTTCCCAGATTTCTCTCCTTCCATGCTAAGAAATTACTCTCTGTAATCATATTTTTCAGTCCTGCTCTTCTCAAGCCAACTGACAGGTGTGGGCATGTAAGGCAGAGTGGCCTTGGGGTCTGAGGACACCATCCTGGAAAGTCATCATGGGCTCTCTAAGAACAGAGAAGAGGAAGCAGGTCCTCAATGAGAGAATGAAGCAAATGGGCAACAAGGCCTCAAGAACCATACTCAAATGGGCCAGGCAAGACAACGACAGTAAGTTGAACTGAAGCAATAGATCCTATCTGAAGAATTTAAGTTCTGGATTCTTTCAACAAGTAGTTCTTAAAGTGTGATGTGCCAACATCAGCTGGGAACTTTTGTTTGAAATGCAACTTCCTAAGATCTACCCTTTGTTGCATTAGAAACATTGGGGCTCAGCAAACTTTGCTTTCACAAGCCCTCTGGGGAACTTATTGTAGATTTCTGGTCAAACTACCACATCTGACCTACAGAATTCAGCAGATTGGATTTTTTCATGACTTTCCAGATCCTGGTTCCATCCCCTCGTGATTCTTGGTTACTCAACTTCTCAAGCTATTCTTGTCTGGTTTCAATACAATGCCTTTTGCTAACACTAGTTTTGTGGGACTTGCTGCTTGAATCCAAACAAAGGTAAAGCTACATCAGATTACACCAAATGCTTGTTAAAGACACCAAACAGAAATTCTAGATCCAAATCCAATTTCTTCTAAAAGAAATTTGTTGAGCTCAACAAATTCTGTATCTCTGGTCCACAAGCCACCACCTACCATAGGATAATATCTGGCAGAATATCTGAGATTTCACCCACTAATAATAAGCTGGTTCAGACACTGCTACGTTCTTCTGGATAACTCCTTGGCTCCCCTGGTCCTCAACAAAAGTTCTCTACATTTTCTTAGTTCTACACAAGGTCATGAAGGAACAAAATGGGGAAACAAAACAGTCCAATTCCCTGTCTCTTTTTCCCAGTTAAACACACAGTGTATTCATTAGATATTTTACATATAAGACTCATTTAATATTTGAATTCTTTTTTAAATTCAAAATTAAAGGTTAGCTTATCATAATTAAATTAATTTCTATTGAGGTTGCTGTCTGTATAAAAGATACATTGAAAAAGGATGAAATTATACTTGCCCAAAACAGACTTTTGCTTGACAAATGGTTTCTTCAGCAAAATGAAATTTGTCCAAATAATCAATATGAATGAAATAAGTGTTTTAAAGGTTTTAAGCAAGAAAACAAACTTCCATGAAATATCCAAAATAAGTAGCAAGAATATTAAGCCTACAAACTGTCATTTTGTACTTTCTTAATTGCCCAAATTAAAAACTAGCATTGTTTTGACCTTTAAATTTCCACCCCACTAGAATGTTCTGTGATGCTGATGTGAAAATAGTGCCAAGTGATTTGGCAGATAACTCACTACAATAATGACTTAAGGTCTCCAAAACATGAGCAAGATTTTCTTGTGCCTTTCAGATGCTCGTGAAAGTCACAGAAGGACTGAAGTCTCCCATCCAAGAAGGAATTTTATATGCACTTTTAAAAAAAATACACGTGCTCTGGAATTGATTGAGTTCAAGGCAGCTTTTACAAAGCAGAAAAAGTTCCCAAGGTGGAGTGAACAGGAAAAAAAAATATTGAGAGAAAATAAAAACAACAAAGCAGAAATCTTTCAAAAGAGTAGAAACTGCTCGTCTCTGTGTGTGTGTCCCTAAAAGGTTTTGATCCTACTCTGTTTGTTATCCTAGAAAAGTTCTTCTGAAGAAAGGTCTCAGTGTAAGCTCTGCTTGAAAGAAGCCAACCCCTTGGAAATGGGGACAGCTCAGCCATTTATTAATGTCAAATATGCAGCCTGCATGAATTAGTCAGCTTGTCTTTTGGAAGCCATACAGAAAAGTCCTCCTGCACCTGCTTTCTGAGTTTCCTGACACTTCTGGCTTGAACAACAGCAGTAATTGCCATCAGAAAGTTTAAAAGAAGAAGAAGAAACGATAACCACATTCTACTTTCTAAATAGCTGAGCCTTGAATCTTTACAAAATGCTTACTAAAGTCTCACCAGTGATCACAAGCGTTAAGCTTGTTTAGAAGTGAAAGGCAAAACAGAGTCATTTTTCCCAAATTGGCAGAATCTAATCAAATTACTACAAAACTCACCTTGGAAACAAAGAAAAATGGAGCAGGAGAAGGCCAGATTTCTTATTGGCAGTACCACAGTGGCAAATATCCCAGAATAAGAACAGCTGCCAAGTGGAAGACAGAAAATGAAAGAACTTTCTAAAAACAGCAAAGTTCAGTGCAGATGCATTCTGCGAGGGTAGCTTTATAAGTATCACACAGGTATAAGGTCCAGCCTTTTTCTTTATTTATGGCACAATTCAAGATCAGAAAATCACATGAAAAAGAAATGGCACTCATTTCTTGGATTGGCATCAGACATCCTTCCTACCAGCTGCGATGACATCATTTCAATCTATCTTTTACTTTTCCTATTCATAGGACAGGGATTGGGCACTTGCAGACAGGCCAAAGTGGTTTCAGCCTCAAATTCAAGGGGACATCCCTACTCGTGGAGAAACAAAGTGGGCCCCTCCCAGTAGGAAAGGCTGTCAGGAAATCTCCATTGTGAAGGTCACTGATGGTGTGGGGGAGGGCAGTCACAGAGATCCTTCCTGGAGATGCCGCAAAAACAGTGGGGGCCTGGGAAATCGGTCTCTTCTATTGAAGCCCACTAAATCTAATGATAAAAAAGGGGCAGTTATTATATGTACAAAACCAAAAATGAACAGGAATGTGGGTGGAAGTGAACATACAAGCAAAAAACTGAAAATGATCAGAAGTTGCTCAGTGTTGCCTTTGCAAGCTGCCATAGAACTCTTGGATCCACCGCTTCATGTATTTAACTTCCAAGGTGCGGGCTAACAGGACAGACTTGGGATCGAATGCGTTGTTGGCTCGCAGATCTAGATGATGGGCTCCATCCAAGATGGTGATCGCAATCAGGGTGTCTGAGATGTCTTTGGTGACTCCACCTCCTGACCAGGGGTCTAGCTCACCATTGCTGCAAATAAGGAAAAGACAAAAAACTAAGATTGCTAGTTTTTCATATTTATATTCAAATAAGATAGCAGAGGCAAACTATAGGCACAATACTTTAACTTATAAACTTATAACCAAGGGGATTCGATTTGAGGATGTGTCATAAGGCAAGCATATATCATATGCTTCAAACAGTTTTTATAATATTTCTGCAAAGAAAATCTATCTATCTATCTAGCTAGCTAGCATCTACGCAAAGAAGACTGAAGTTGGTCCTCACCCCCGTGAATTAACCTAGACAGTACTTGGACTCGAAATTCAAAAGCTTGAAGTATCACCCCAGCTTCATCATCCAAAAACAAGTTATCTGACTCAGTTTCCTTATCTGTAAAATGAGATAACACTCTATAAGATTGAATAACGACTACACCATGGTATATATGAAAGAATTTCATTAACACAAAGTGCCAGACATATGGAAGTCCCTTATTAATGCTGGCTTCCTTGTTCCTAGGCCCCAACTAACTACCCAAAGCACTAAGGAAAAAAAAAAGGAAATTCAGATTTTTGTTGTTGTTGTTGTTTAATATGGTACAGGACTTTGGGAAACAGTGAGGCAGAACTGAAAGACTGTTCCCGGGATCTGGAATCAGATAATGTGGGCTTCATTAAAAAAAAATCTTCATTTTACCTTAGCTTTAAAGTTAAGGTTATTAGCTTTGGCTGGTTTGCATAACACATTTCAGAATAACAGGCTCAGTCACTGAAGCAGATTATTTAATTTAGATGAGATTTTAAAAAGTGTAATCACAAGCAGCATCCATTTTTAACAGTTTTGTTGAGATAAAATGCACCCATTTAAAATGTACAACTTGGGAGGCTGGCACAACAGCTCAACTGGCTAGTCCCCCACCTCCAAATGCTGCATCCCATAATGGGTGCCGGTTCATGTCCCAGATGCTCCACTCCCCTGTCTGTGGCCTAGGAAAGCACTCAGGATGGCCCAAACCTTGGAAACCTGCATCCACATGGGAGACCCAGAAGATGCTCCTGCCTCCTGCCTTCGGATTGGCTCAGCCTTGGCCTTTGTGGACATCCAGCCAGTGGATGGAAGATCTTACTCTCTGTCTCTCCTTCTCTTTCTAAATCTGCCTTTCCAATGAAAATAAATAAACCCTTTTAAAAAAATAAGATGCACAACCTAATGGCATTTTATATAATCAGAACTGTATAACTGTACCATCACAATTTGAGAACATTCTCATGATCTCCAAAAGAAATTTATTATCCCCAGCCCTACCCACTCTGTCATTCAACTCAAGACAATCACTAATCTACTTTCTATCTCTACAGTTACCTATTCCAGAAAACTTGAATACATGGCATTAAATAATAGGTGGATTTTTGTGACTAATTTCTTTCATTGAACATGTTTTCCAGTTTCATCCATGTTATAGTATGAATCAATACATCATTCCTCTTTATCAACAAATAACATTCCATTGCATAGATGTATCACATATCATTTATCTATTTATCAGTTGATATAAACTTGTCTTGTTATATACCTTTGGGCTACTGCAAATATTGCTCCTCTGAACATTCATGCAGCAGTTTTTGTGTGGGTACATGCTTGCTTTTTCTTGAGTGCATAAATAGGAAAAAATTGCTGGAACATTTGATAACTTTTGGATAACTTAACTGCTAGGCTGCTTTCCAAAAGCAGCTGCACTCTTTACATTCCTAGCAGAAAAACAGAAAGGTTCCAGTTTCCCGGGTGAAAGGGTATCTCACTACGACTTTGATCTGCATTTCCCAAGACTAAGGGGCATTGAAAATTTTTTCATATGTTGCGACAATTTGTATATCCTCTTTAGAAAAATATATATTCAAATGTTTGCACGTTTTAACTAGGTTATATATCTTTTTTGAGTATACTATATACATATTCTAGATACAACTCATTATCTGACATGATTTGCAAATATCTTCTCTTTTTGTAGTCTGCCTTCCAACTTTCTTAATAGTAACAACATCTGCAGCACAAAAGGTTTTCATTTTGGTGAAGTCAAATTTATCGTTTATTTTGTTGCTTTGGAGATTGTATGTAAGAAATTAGTCTAACAGACAGCCATAAGGATAGATTATTAAACTTTCCTCTAAGTTTATAGGTCTTTAACTTATTTTGCATTAAAATTTTTGTATGGAACAAAATACAAGGCTATCCTCATTCTTGGACTAATTGGTGTCTAGTTTTCCCAGCATTGTTTGCAAACAAAATAAAACAAAACATTATTTTCTACAATGAATTATTGGTGTACTCTTGTTGGAAATCAACTGATGACATACCATAAGGGTTGAGTTCCAGACTACCCTCCTTTCCACTATATGTCTATCCTTACGCTATTATCACACTGTATATTGTACCTTCGTAAAGAGTTTGAAATCAGGAAGTATAAATTCTTTATAGTTGTTCTTTCATTTCAAGGTTATTTTGGTTGTTCCCTCAATTTCTATATGAATTTTAAGACCAGTTTATCAAATTCTGTTAAAAATATAGTTGATATTTTGACAGGGACTGCATTGCATCTATAGATCAATCAGTCTGCCTCTGAGGTTTTAGCTCCTGTTATTCCCTTCCTCACTCAGTACTAGCCATACTGTACTCCTTATCTACCTGTAGAACATGCGGGGGACACTTAATCCTTCAAAGCTTTTCCCTTGCCTGTCCACTTGCGGAGTACTCCTACCCATCTAGCCTCACAACTAGCACCTTTACTTCTCCAGATCACTTTTATTTTTTAAAAAATTATTATTTTTATTCAAAAGGCAAAGTCATACAAAGAGAGAAAGGAAAAGAAAGAGAGAAACAGACAGAGAAAGACTTGGTTCACTCCCCTTCTGGGCCAGGTGGAAGCCAGGAGCCCGAAGATCTTCCAAGTCTCCCACATGGGATCAGGGACCCAAGGCCTTGAGCTATCCTCCAGCGCTTTCCCAGGCCATAAGGAGGGATCTGGATCAGAAATGGAGCAGCTGGGACATGAACTGGTGCCCATATGGGATACTGGCACTTGCACGTGGAGCATTAGCCAGTTGAGCATCACACTGAACTACCACCTCACCCCGCCCCAGATCACTTTTCAACAGATATTGGTAGGGTCTGTCTTGATCAATGTAAACATCAAACCCTCATCCCTGCTCCTGACACTTCCCAGCCCCTTTGCCAGGTTATCTTTTTCTCCTTAACATGTATATACAAGTTTATAGGTGGTATTACCTATTTCTCAAACTGGAACTCCACCAAGGGAAAGATTTTCATTTTATTTCTTACTAAATCCTCAATTCTTACAACAAACATTTATTGAAAGAATGAACACCAAAAAAATGAATGCATACCAAATGTAAGTCTCTAGTTTATGACCTTATACTGGATCCCCGGCATAGAGATCTATAAATACATGTATGCAAGTTCATGGACATTGTAAATCACTTCAGCACTTTGTACATGGAAAAGCAGAGCTGATTCAAATGACAAATTTAAGCACTAACTTATAATGACCTTCAGCTGTGTATAGTAATGAATGAACAGTAAACCAAATCAGCATTTCTCTTAAGTTTTATATCCTTACTAAGTTGTACAATTCTGGGTAAAACATCTATGAGCCTTAACTATCATGTATATTACAGGGGGAAAAAAGCATTTTTAAAAGAAAATAATGCCCCTTTACTGATATTGTGAGACCCAAACTAATAATATACCTGGAAGTAAAGTATAAATTATAAAATAGTGCACAAATATACAGAATTACAATTATTATTCTGTGAGCATGAGAAGTGTTGATACCTCTTAGAGGTAAATCAATCATGAAAACATACGTGAAAGCATTTTGCAAAAAACTGGCCAGAATATAAATTTAATCAGAATTTTCCAGGTAAACTACCTGAGTAAACCAAACATTAAGTATGCATTTGAAATACAATATTAGAGGGCTGGCTTTGTGGTACAGCTGGCTAAACTCTCAAACTCTTCAGTTTAACCCACTGCATCACAACACAATTGTTTTTCATTTTTCTTTTATTGTTTTTTAAGATTTATTTTATGTTTATTTGAAAGGCACAGGTACAGAAAGAAGGAGAGACAGAGAGCTCTTTCTTCTGGTGGTTCATTCCCCAAATTCCCTCCAGACTGGAGCTTAGAGCAGAAGCCAGGAGCTTCATCCAGCTCTCCTAGATGGGTTCACAGACCCAAGCACTCGAGCCATCCTCTGCCTCTTTTCCCAGGCCATAAGCAGAGAGCCGGATCAAAAGTAGAGCAGCCAGGTTATGAACCTGCACCCATCTGGTATGCCAGTGCCACAGGCAGGGGCTTAGTTCACCAACCAAGGTGCCAGCTCCAAAAAATATAATTCTAAATTCTTTTCCATTATCACCATACTTCTCTTAAAAAAAAAATCAATAGGGGAGCCAGTGTTGTGGCATAACTGATTAGGCCACTGCCTACAGTTGCTGGCATTCCATATGGGAGCTGGTTCAAGTATAAGGTGCTGCACTTTGATCCAGCTTCCTACTGATGCATCTGGGAAGGAAGCAGAAAATGGCCAGAGTGTTTGGACCCCTACACCCATAAGAGTGACTCAGATGAAGCTTCAGGCTCCTGCCTTTGGCCTGGCCCAGTCCCGGTTGTTGTGGCCATTTGGGTAGTAAACCAGCCATCAGGTGAAATATCCCTTTCTCCCCGCACCGCCCCCCGCCCCCCGTAACCAACTTTTAAATAAATAAAACTTTTTAAAAATCAATTCAATTACAGTCAATCAACCACCTCAGCTATATGTTGGCAGTGAAATACTGGGCAAACGGAGACTCTATGATGGACTATGTCAGTCAGTGGATTCTTCAACGGCTTCATCGTGCTTGGAGTGGCAAGATTGGCAGTGATTCATAACTGGTGAACTATCAAAACCACTTGAGTGAGACCCTCGGAGGATGCCCCACATCTGGGACTTTGGGTGGGTGGGAGACTGGTGGGGCTTCTCCCTCAATATTCCCCTTTACCTCAGATACATGAAGGAAACAATATGGAAATAATAGTCTTACCCATTTTCCTGTAGCCCCTGAACCTTTTTACTCTAATTAACTATGAAAGATTGTCAAAAATATAACTTAAAAATGGGGAAAAATCAATTCAATTACACCTTAAGAACATAATTCTTTTAAAACACTCCAAAGAGGTACTTTTTAAAAATATAATTAAGAACAAAAGGGATAATTTCCCTGCAAAGCATGAATGTTAGTTTGCAACTACCAGATAAATTTTTAAAGTAAGCTACACAAGGAAATAGATTTCCTTAAGTGAATGAACAGCCTTTATCACTGTTAAAATTCAACAAGCCCAGTCCAGATAGAAAACTCTCCATTATTTGCAAAACAAAAAGGCTACCCCAACAGCCACATAATAAGCAAACTGCATTTGATTTAAAAGGTCATCTGAAACTTTCTAGTGACTTAGCAACAGTGTTTGGAGTTGCTGAGAGACCCAGGATGCACACCGCCTTGATTTTCTTGGTCCTGAACGTGTGAAAACTAAACCAAGCATTGAGGAATCAACAAAACAAACCCCAAAAAACTGGCTTTCCTGAGAGGTGCTTGATTCTTGAGTAAAATTCCCACCTTGCAGACTCATTTATTCACTGACAATAATTAATCCTTCTAAGGAATTATGTTAAATTAATCAGTTCCACAGGGAACCCTTTTTGGACTTACATAGAAATAACTGAGATGACTGTGGTAAAACAATGTTTATACACAGGAGGAGAGGACAAGAGAACCAACAAACCTTGTAGGATTTCAAAAATAGGAGAAATGAGACTTTTAACAGCTACTATTTATTAAAGTCGCATCCATTCATCAGATGTTCACTAGAAACCTCCTCTGTGCTTGGCACTGAGGTCGGCCCAGGGGATTCAGCAATGAATAAGATGAACAAAAACTGCTGCTTGTAAGGTGCTAACTTCCACGGGAATTTACCTCCTTGAAATAAGCTTCTTGGTCATTATTTCTAAGTTACATGAATTGTCAATCTGCCAAAGACTACCCAGCTAATAAGGTGAAGAGGTAGGACAGTCCAAAGTTTTGGTGACATCAGAGTTGAAGGTCTTCACTAGCAAAGCTCCAAAAATTACAGATTGGACTTTACCAAAAAAAGCACATTAGTGTAAGGCAACCTGAACAAAAAGTTTCTATCTGGCTGCCTGGACATTTTCTAGTACATCAATCAGAAATATTTTACAGTTGGTAACCACTGAGCACACAAAGCAGAAATACCCAAGGCTATTCCTTTATTTTATGCATGTGCTTTCTTCATGAAAGGAGGATAAGTTTGAATTTTTAAATATACAGAAATTGTTTATATTGCATTTTTCATATCTAGCAGTCTTCAAAAAAAATCTCTTGTTGAGATCTTGGGGAAATTATAGTAATTATTTGCTGTCTTACCAGCTGACAATCCCAACGTTCAAGTCAAAACATGGACATTTCAAAGTCATAGCCAGATACAATAGAAAATCTAGTTAGTGAACTCTGATGCAAACCAGGATCAACTCTGCAATTTCCTAAGATGTAGCATAACGAAGAAAAACAAACATGGGCTTTTTGTTCAGACAGGCCAAGCTTTTAATCATTAAAACAAAGTTGCATAGGCTTTGGCAAGGGACTGAATACAGCGACCTGTAATTTCCTCCTTGGTAATAAAGGAACTATTACCACTACTTCACAGGGTTGTTGTCAGCATTCAACTAAATAACTTATTTACAGCATATTCTGCAGTACTTAGGGCAAAACAAAGTGAACACTCCACAAGTTCTGTACAAACACTGAAAATGTTTAATTATCATTAATAATCACAGTTAACAATAACAATACAAGTTGAGAACAAGAGATAATGCTTAATGTTTGTATTGGTAAAGGTTTTTAAAAATAATTTAATTTTATTGCTGTTGCGATTATAAGCCTCTAAGTACAAGAAAAATAGAGCATATAAAATTTTCTCATTTCAGCATCCTTTGTCTTTCACAAAGAATGGGAAAACATGATGCATTATTACTGTTATTGTTCTGTTTTTGTTTATGTTTTGAAAGGAAAGGAGACAAAAGAAACCTCCCATCCATTGTTTCACTCCCCAAATTGCTTGTACCAGCTAGGGCTGGGCCAAGCTAGAGCCAGGAGCCTGGAATGTAGTCCAAATCTTCCAGGTGGGTGGCAGAGCCCTAATTATTTGAGCCATCACTACAGCCTCTGATTAGCTGAACGCTGGAATTGGAAACAGAGGTAATACTTGAACCCAGGCACTCTCATGCAGGTATTTCAAGAAGCATCTAAACCAACCCCTACAGTGTATTCTAGATTGTTTCACCATCCAGTATTTTCCTGGTTCAATTTTCTAAGGTAGTAAACAAATGTATGCATTGCACAGTTTCTCTTGGACCAGTAAAGACTCACCTAAAAATTATATTTGAGTGTGAACTGATGTTTTTGCCTCCATACAAGGTAGTGATCCAGGAGGGCCTTGGTCTCACACCCCATTGTTTAAAACATTCATCAGAAAACTCTTCCAAGTTCCACAGATGAAGTTCAAACATGTCATCAATACCATTAGTACAAAAGGGCATGACCATTTCTGTACAGGCCTAAAAAAGAAAACCAAGAAAGGATCCAAAAAAAAAAAAAAAAAAGTCACAAAGAGATTAAATAAGTTACCCAAGGTTATACAGCTAATTAATAGTAAAACCAGGGTTTGAACTCAAGCAATTTAGTTTCAGAACTACTTTAATATCACATAATTTTTTGTCACCTACCCATACAAAGGATTGGCTGAGAAGTCACAGAAATTAGGACTATCTGGTTTTCTTTGTAAACTCCTTTATTTTATAGCATCACATTTAACCCTTACAACAACTCTGTAATATATTACTAATACTATTAGCCCCATTATATGAATGAAGGAACAGAAGCATAGAGGACCAAATTAAACACTCCTTCTTGTATATATATTCCAATCAGAAAGCTTCCTTTATAAGATTGGTCAGTATCTAAACACTCCTGATGTTTCCACAAAAATGTTTCTTTTGTGAGACTTACCAAGATCTATTGCAATATTAATTTAACTAGTTATCTTTCTCATCAGTGTATATTTATAAATATACACTGTAAAAAAAAAGATCACCTTTTATTTATTATTGATTGTATCTTTGAAGCCAAGAAAAGTGTCAGCCACATAGTGTGCACTCAAAATATATGAGTGCATGTCAAAAAGTTTGTGAAAAAATGAAATTAAAAGATATTTGGTGTTGACTAAGTACACGAGAGAAGATATAAAGAAATCTGTTTGGGTTCTTGCCATGTAAAATAGCAGAGCCCAGAATTCTCTTCAGTTAAAGTGAATAAAATCTTGGGTACTCTCTATTACAGAACAATTTTTATCAGTGAAAAGAAGCTTCACTTGGAGAAATTATAGATTCACACTTACCTGATAGCTCCAGCCCAGGGATCCAAGATTGCTGGTTGCTGTCTCTGAAATATTCAGGCATTTTGCATGGCCTGAATAATTGTGATACACATTCAGAGCTTGGAAAACATTCTGCAGCAGCCGTGAATCGGATACATTGGGATCTTTCAAATACTGGCACACTACCTTTCATTTTTAAGACATAAGCAAATGAAGAATCAGAATATAAATATGCAAGTGCTGTTTAATAACACAAAGAAAAATGTTTTTGATCATAAAACACTTAAGCTTTTAAGTGTATCACGTAACAATTACTTCCCAGGTTACAGAAATAAATCAAAGTCACTTGTGTGGAATGTAAAGGCCCTTCCATCTACCATTCCAGGCTTCTCTTTGAAGCCATTCCCTGCCAGACCAAGCACTTACCTTCCACTCCATCCCCGGAATGCTTTCCTCATTCTTACCCTGCACCAATGCCTAGGAAAACCAATATTCAGTTCTAATATCATTCTCTTCTCTGAGGCCATTCTTGCCTGTATCTCAAGTCAGGAAGAACAAACCACTCTCAACTTAATGCCCCATTATATCCTGCCTGTATCTGTTTATCCAAGTTCCTTGAATGCTCTGCTGTAGCATTTGCCTCCAGAACACCTCCCTTGGCACTCAGCAAGATTATCTAGGAGGAACTAACTACTAAATGAATTAGTAAAATTGTATGAAGACACAAAACTCAGTCTTCCCAAAAGGCAGCACAAAACTAGAGTAGATACACAAAAAGCAGAGTTACATTCAAGCCCAGCATGGTAGATGAGGCAGGGTGACAATGCAAGCTGGGCAGGGGGCAGGGGAGGAGGAAGAACTGATGTGTAAGCGGCCTCAGACTCAGAAAGGAACACCAGCTAGCAAGTAAGTGTGACTCACATGCTGGCATCAGATCCCCTCTTAGAGCTAGAACACTGGGCCTCTGTCAGCCAAAGAAAAGGAGTCCCCATGTATAGCCATCTCTGCAAAGAGCAGTTACTGTTGCTCTTTGAAAGACACAAGTGTGGCTGGAGACCAGCATCAGTTGACAGTGTTTGGATTTTGGCAGTCCCAGTTACACAAAGAGAACATCGTGATCAGAAATTTGCCCTGTGCAGATAGAAATTCCATGTCCAGATTCAAGCCCATCCTCATTGTCCTCTGTAAGGTCAGATCACCTGCAGAGTCCACAGTCCAATTCTGAGCTCCAAACCTTAAGAAGGTTGTTGATGCACATCAGAAAATCCAAAGGGAGCAATCAAGGTGGGGAGATGGGACACTGAAGAACAATGCAAGCAACCCTAAAGTTGGTCATTTATTTCACTCCCAATTTTCACACAAAGCTACAATTAATATCTTACAGCCAGATCTTTACAGACAGAGGTATTTCACAAAGTTTGTCAAAAAATGGAACTAAAACGGAAGCTTATTTTGATGTACTTTGGCTTGTTTTTTGTTTTGAAAGGCAGGAGAGCCAGAAAGATCTCTTATTCACTGGTTGATTCCCCCAAGTGCCTGCAACAACAGCAAGGGTGGGTCAGGGTGAAACTAGGAAGTGGAAACGACATCCAGGTCTCCTGTGTGGATGACAGGGACCCAATTACTTGAGTCATTACCTGTTGACCCCCAGGACGCAGGAATCCAAGGGGATCAGGATTCAAGTCCTGGTCCGCAGATACGGGATTTGGCATCATAAGGGGTGTCCTAACTGGTGTGCTAAACACCTGTCCCAGATAAGTTTATTTCTGGGCAAGAAAAAAATTTTTAAATCGATGCATAGTTCTTTCATAACACATATTTTCAATGAATTTTTCAAAGAGCAATTTTATATCCTTAACTGTTTACTTGGGATAAATTCAGAGAGATTACTGGTTCAAAGGAAATAAATATCAAATTGCCTTATGGAAAACAAGTACCTGTTTATAATTCACTAGTGTGTCACAGGAGGCATGAAAAATATCACTGGAGTGGGTTTCAGGACGGGGAGTCTTGCTTGGATCCTGACTCCAGCCACCACGTGCACATGGTGAGCTGACCCCAGGCCTGCCTGGGCTTGGGGGTTGCTCCCTTTGGGGTGAGTGCACCGAGGGGGGAAGTCTCCGTGACTGGGTAGGTCCGGAGCCCACCCATCACCCTCATTGGGCAGTGAATGGGATTGGGGAGGGGTGCGACCTTGGGCCTGGGGGTTTAAACTTCCAGCAGCCTCCTAGCTGCTGGTGGGCCTCAGGATGGGGTGTCTTGCTCGGATCCTGACTCCAACCACCACGTGCACGTGTAAGCTGTCCCTGGGTGGCCAGTGCACCATTTGCCCCCAGGCTCCGCCTGCTGGCTGCCCAGCTGGGGAGCTCTGGGGTTTTAGTTCTTTGAATTGCTGCTTAGGTAGCTCCAGGTTGAACCCATTGTGCTTCTGGGATGTGAGTCAATCCTAAAGATTCCCAATGACAGTAACTCTTCCTTTCAAGAACTTGTAATCACATAACAATGCTAAGCACCGGACACCAGTTCATGCAAAAGTTAAGGCTCGGGGCTTGTCCAACAGGATATAATATTACCCGACATGATGATGGATCAGCAGACATGTCACATTAGGCCGGGCCATGACATTAACTAGCACTCGAGAACCATATCCAGGAGTAGATTCTGTGGGTGATGTGTGGGCCACACCCTGTGGAAATTCTAGCCCCATTGGTTAGTTCAAGAGTTGGGATGGTGATAGACTCAGCTAGGTGTGACCAAGGAGCCTGCCATCAATCACAAGTAAAGGAACCCCCAACAGTTTGGACTGGTCAGCGCAGCAGCACCCGAATGTGCATCCTGAATAGGGTGTGGGGCTGGGCTGGGCTGCAACATTCACCAGCTCATACACAGCCAAATGGAAAGCCAGACTGCGCCGGGTACTGGCCTAAAACCCATGGCATGTATGAGAACTGGGTCGGGGAGTGGATCAAGTGGAGGAACTTGGGAAACTCCCCTGGCGAGTCATAGCTCCCGCTGGTGAACATATGGTCCAGACCTGGGGGTCGGACAAGTTGGGCAAAGTAGCTTCAACAGTTGGCTAATGTGTAAATTGGTAATGGAATGGGATGTACTGGGCAGGACTGAGCAAACTTTAGCCTATAAGTGAACCTAGAAACCAGCATGGAGCACAGGTCATGCCGAGCTAGGCTCTTGCACCTACTGGTCTGCGTGAGCCAGGGACGCTAAGCCACAGTGTCTAAGGCAGAGGCCGGGACAGGTGAGGGGCTGAGCTAAGCTGAGAGCAACCACTGGCATGCACATGATCTATGGCTGGGAACAGGCCTAGTTGGGGAGCTAAAGAGACACCCTAACTGGGTTGAGGTTCCCACCAAGGGGCATGTGTGCTGGAATGGGGGTTGCGTTCTATTCAGGAAATGGTTTCAGTCTCCCTTGGCACTAGTGTGGACTGGACTGGATGTACCGGGCTGGGCCAGACCTCAACACCCTCTGGTGTCCTGGAGGACCAGAGTAGATGTGGGACGGACGCTAGGTCTCAACCCTTACTGAGCCATATGTGGGTATGGACAAACCATGGCTGGGCTGAAACATCCAACAGCAAGAACCAGTTTGGGTTGAAGGCCAGTCAGGAAAAGCCACTGTTCCTGCTAGGACAGGAGGTGGACTGAGTAGGGCTGGCTCATGGACTCCCTGGTATGTGCAAAATCCGGCATTGGGAGGGGTTCTGATGGAGGAGTCTGGGCAACTCCTCTGGTAGGATATAGTCCCTACAGGTAAGCGCAAGAAGCATGATAGGAAACAGCCTAGAATAGGCCATGGAAAGTGTTGCACTGGCACACATTTGGCAGGGGTCGGGGGAAGAATCAGTCTACGTCATCCTCTGGCAAATCCGAGCACCAGAACAGAGTGTGGGTCGAGCCAGGTTCGATTGCGACAAAAACCAGTGCACAATACGGAATGCCAAGGTGAGGTTGCCTGTACCGGTTGTGACTGCAGCACCAACCAGCATGCATGAGAACCAGAAAGGGAGAGGGTGGAGCCGGCAGGGGAAGTATGGGAGGGTCCCCTTGCCTGATAACTACTCCCACTGGAGACCGTGACTGGAATGGGGGCAGACCAGACTAAGCAGAGCTACAACACCTGTGTGCCTCATGTGGACTAGATCAGGGAAAAACCATGCTGGGCTGATTATTCCTACGGGTGCAAGCATATTAGAGTGGGTGAGGTTTGTTTGGGCTTAGCCACAGCATCAGCTGATAGAAGCTGGCATTGGGTGCTAGTTCTGTCAAGTCAAACCACAGAACTACCTGGAGAGTGCATAATCCGGGAGTGAGAGAGACCTGGAAGGGAAATAGTGGGCTCCTCCCTCTTGGGTTATCACTCCCACAGGAAGGCACAAAAACTTGGATGGGGGCTGGTGTGGCTAGACAGAGAGGCACTCAACAACATCTGTAAGGCCTGGATAGTTGAGCTGGTTAGATGGAACTAAGCTTTAATATCCATCAACATGTACAAGTGCCAAATGGGATGTGGGACAGATTAGACCAGTCTGCTACACATACTGGCAAACCATAGTAAGGGCAAGCCTGGTGGAGGTTATTGTGGGTCACTCTGACTAGGCTGCAGCTCCCACTGCTTTATGTGTAGGCTGAGTATGTGCTGGGCAGAACCAGGCTGGACTGCAACACCCATTGGTTCCAATGGAAGTCGGGAGTGAAAACAGAACCAACCCAGCAATTGCAACACCAGCTGATTGGGGCAATGGACTGTGCCAGGCCCTGTGCTTGCTATAACACACAGGAATCTGGTCTGGGAATACCTCAAAGTTCCTTTGGGGATCTCCCCAATCGAAATACCGGACTCAGAACCCTAACCAAGAAAAGACAGAAGACAGAACAAGTCAATCAACCACCTCAGCTATATGTTGGCAGTGAAATACTGGGCAAACGGAGACTCTATGATGGACTATGTCAGTCAGTGGATTCTTCAACGGCTTCATCGTGCTTGGAGTGGCAAGATTGGCAGTGATTCATAACTGGTGAACTATCAAAACCACTTGAGTGAGACCCTCGGAGGATGCCCCACATCTGGGACTTTGGGTGGGTGGGAGACTGGTGGGGCTTCTCCCTCAATATTCCCCTTTACCTCAGATACATGAAGGAAACAATATGGAAATAATAGTCTTACCC